ACGGATTGCATTCACTCTCTTCGCAGCCATCATCTGGTCATCACTTAAACTCGTCGACTATGAATCAAATGAATCGACAGCACTCTCAGCACTCGCAACAACACTCACAGCGCACTGATTACTACGGGTCGATGCCTCGAGGCCTTGGGCTCGACTACCCGTCCAAACCATACCAACAGCACAGTCAACACAATACTCCCCTTCAATACCCAATATATCCCGACGTTGTGTTCAAATCATTGCCTTTCTATGATATATTGGGTGAACTCCTGAAGCCCTCCAGTCTTTGTAAGTGTCTTTCGGTGTTAATTAATGTAAACCAATGAACGATTCAATAAAAGCATTTGTATGGCCAACAGTGCCGACAGCGCCGGGATCTCGATTCCAGGAGAGTATGTTTACATTCCATCTGACGCCACAACAGGCCAACGACGTGGCCATGTCTCGGGAGGTGACCCCCGGGCCTAAAGTCGATTACACGGTTCAGTTACAGCTCAGGTTCTGTTTGAATGAGACCACTTGTGAACAGGACGACAACTTTCCGCCCAGTATTTGCGTTAAAGTCAACTCTAAGATGTGTCCGCTTCCGGTCTGTGCCCACACTTACCTCTAAACCTCTTATATGATTGCTAATCGTTGGTTATATTTAAACCGCAGAATCCATTGCCAACCAATAAGCCGGGAGTAGAGCCTAAGAGGCCGAGCAGACCCGTCAACATAACCACTCTCTGCAAACTCTCGCCTACGGTTTCCAATCAGATATCGATCTCATGGGCGGCCGATTTCAATCGTCCGTACGCTGTGGGCGTGTTTCTGGTCCGCAAACTCGCGTCGCAGACATTGCTTCAGAGAATCAAACAGAAAGGCGTTCGCAATTCAGACCACACCAGAGCTATGAGTGAGTTGTGTTTACAATCATATATTCAATACTTTGTTTCTCTAATCACTTGATTTGGATTTTAGTTAAGGAGAAGCTCTCACACGATCCCGACTCTGAGATCGCAACCATGAGTTTAAGGGGTTCACTGCTTTGTCCGGTAAGACAGGAGACGTCTGTTTCCGTCGATGCGATATCTAAATGGCTTTATTTGATAAATAGTTGGGAAAAATGAGAATTCAAATCCCGTGTCGTGCCATCACTTGCGCTCACGTCCAGTGTTTCGACGCTTTACTGTATTTGCAAATGAATGAGAAGAAGCCGACGTGGGTCTGTCCCGTATGCGACAAACCGGCCGTTTTTGCTCATCTCGCTATCGATGGGTTTGTCTCTCCTATCACTACAAATATAATGCTAACAATTGAATGATTATTAGACTATTCAATGAGATTATAAGAGAAGCTCCGAATTCGTGCAATGAAGTGCAGTTCCATGAGGACGGCTCCTGGACTCCAGTCGTCGCCAAAAAGGAAAGCAGTTTTGAAACGTTAGGTTCCGGTTCACGAAGAAGCAAAAAGAGGGCGTCTTGTAAGTAGTGATTGAATTGTTTAATACTTGTTATACTCGTTTGCCGTGTGTTTAATGAGTTGTTATAAAACAGCGCCCGAAAGGGTAGAACCAAAGAAACCTAAGATCGATGTCATAACCATAGACTCGAGTGATGAGGAAGACGACGACACAATCAAGTGCTCGTCAAACCCTCCGCCCTCCACACCAGTGCTGTCGTCGGGATCGGGCTCTGAGTCGGACACTCCTAATCACATGCAATCACTTCCATCGCCGGACTCATCGAGTTCTGAGTCAAGTAATACACAAGAGAATAATTGCGACTCTAATCCACTCATCTCTTCATACTATTCAACAGTGAATACATCGGCCACTGGGGGTCAGGACTTGAGTTCGGGTGCAAACAATAGGTACTGTATTTTACTCGATTAAATCGATGAAACAGTAATTTGGATTCATTTCGCGAATAATAGCATCCAATTATGAGTTATATTTATTTCAAGTTTTATTATTATTACTTAAATTACTATTACATCAACTCTATTGTCCGATAATATGTTGATTCGTATTAAGAAATCGATTATTAACTGAAAACTTTTGACATTTTATAAACATTTTGGAATAATTGTTAATTGATCTCAGATTTAACTATTTTACTACACAATAATTTCATTAATAAAAAAACGTTGTTATCATTCAAACACATTGTACGCAATCACTACACGTAAACCTAACTAACATAACACCGAACCGAATATATTTAATTGAATGTCCATTTGTATCGTTTAGATCGTCTCTGCCCTCCTCTTTAAGCATCTCATCGATGTCTAGTATTGGCCGCTCGTCTGCCAGTTCTACACTCCCGGCCACCAGTGGTTACCCAAGTGTACCACTTCTTAACCAATACTACTCTTCTTTCCCCGATTTTCTCAATACAGGCAACAATTCTCTGTTCAACTATTCAAGTATTGCAAACCGTATGACAAATATCATTGCAACCAAACATTAATCCCTTTATATATGTCATTACTGTAGACATCGATATGTCCTCTGCTTTCGATCATCTCTTTAGGCAGTCTTCCGATAGAGAGGTTTTTATCACTGATTTGTTGAATGAGAATGAGTTTTAATGTTATCAATGAATCCCACGATAGACTCAAAACTACTTGAGAGGATTGCCAGACGATTCCGATCCCGACATCATTTCAATCGATTGAATATATCGTTCACTTATATCTCATTAAATCATTGCATCATTTATTTGTAAAGTCATCAAAAACTTTGATTATGACTTAAAATAGTATATTTTGAGCCATTTTTAAACATCAAATCAAACGTTATTTTTAATATTTAAAGAATATATTATTCATTAAAACGAATTGACATAAGAATTACATTGAAATCAATAGCACTTGTAATGACAAAACTGAAGACTCAATACTTTCGGACCTATTGTTGTCTTTGAATCTGTATTTGGAAGCGACAACTCGGAGGAGACACTATCTCTGCCGTCACTATTGAGTTGAGACCTAAATTACTTAACGCCCCTCTGATTAGTCCGCACGTGAAGGCCAAGTACTGAACGAGTGATTGGTTTCGGTCACTAAGTGGTGGTATATATGACAAGCAGTGATACAAACCTTTGGCATTTGGTCGACGTATTGCTTAGAGTTAGACATATGTGTTATGAAACGGAACCGATTGTCGAGCAATACATAGATTCCCATATGATTTGTGCGCAGATTATCGATCTGTTTCTTGAATACTGTGGACCAGAACTCTTTGCAGATGAACTTCATTACATCCAATTCGTCTTTGAATCGCTGCCACTCTTTAGTCGCTCTGCAAAACACATCAATGAAAGTGACAATCAATGAAAGGCATCAACAGGTGATGAGACACTCACTTCTCCACAAATCGATAGCCAGTGTTGTATCCGATGTGCTCTAAACGGGAAACACATAACTCCTACCAAACAAACCATCAATTCATCAATTAATCCAATTGTAATCAAATCGAGTCAATGCGTGCATCAGTTGTCTTACGTTTGAGTCGTTGTCCGAGTTTTGTGCCAACAGTTCAACGCTTTCCATATGAAGAAAGTCAAAGAGGATGTCATCCATCATATCATATATCGATCACACAATCAATGCTTTTGTAATTCAATTCAAATCTCAATTCAAATTCAGTCCTATTTTTGTACACAAATTAATGTCAATATATTGTGAATCATATAAACAGTCGTCAAAAACGTATCATATATCGATCACACAATCAATGCTTTTGTAATTCAATTCAAATCTCAATTCAAATTCAGTCCTATTTTTGTACACAAATTAATGTCAATATATTGTGAATCATATAAACAGTCGTCAAAAACGTAATGAAAATACATTTCAATGTAAACCCCTTTTTGTCATATGTTTTGCTTGTATTTCAATGCATTCATTGCCGGCTTATATATGATTGACATTATTTATGGACAGCTATTGTGAGTACGAGTGACGCGAATGTCACGTGATTTGCACACATTTTGTCGGCATTTAATCACATTATTTACAAACAAATCATGAATTGATTTATAAATAGTTTGATTGAAATGTCAAACAATTATAAGATTTTGGTTTATTTTCTCAAATCATTTGGCAGTTCATTGAGAATAGGTTTGGGTCTCAGGAACCGATCCATCGATCAATTGGTCTCAAAAGACTTGTTGAATGAATTGAGTGGTAATGTGAGGAAGAATTGCAGACAATTTGAGTCAATTGTGGACAGAAATGGTCGCAAACAGACCACAAGAAGTGGTCATCAAAACCACCGAAATGTATGTCTTATTGTCGTTATTATTGATTTGCAAATCATTTACAATTTATTCAATATTTAATTAATAGTGTTTTATAATTAAACTTTTAATTATTATAACAATTTAATAATTACTTTGAGACAAAAATATAATTAGGTTTTTGTTATGCAATACTTGTAGAGAAAGACTTCGATGAATAGGTCTGAAGTGATGGACAGGTCTTATATGGTATACGAAGGCATTCGTCAATACTTGCAATACATTTGAGACAAAAATATAATTAGGTTTTTGTTATGCAATACTTGTAGAGAAAGACTTCGATGAATAGGTCTGAAGTGATGGACAGGTGAATATACCATATGCTTCCGTAAGCAGTTATGAACGTTATGCACAGGTTTTTATTCAACTTAAGTTTAGTTAAACAAAGCGCTTACTCACCTGTTAGTCACCATTATGGCCACGTTGTGTAGGTAGTGAGTTAGTCTTATTTCCCAATAATAGCTGACATTAATTTGTGATCAACTGTTTGTTAATTCAATTCCTATGTATTGAATATATTTTGATAATTTATGGTTTAATTTAATAGACAATCACATCATCGATGGAATACGGGTTAATAAAAGGGATATAACTAATGAAGAGTTTATTAACGATAATATAATGATTGATCCAATTATTGGCCAAATAAATGAAAACAAAGTCATCGATAAACCTGTGAATGAAAGTAAAGTGATTAACAATAAACCATTTGTAGCCAAACCTCCGCTTAACGATAATTTAAGACAAAATTTGAGCCAACGATCGAAAGAGCGTAAAGTGCCGGCCAATAGAGTGAGTCGTATGGCTTCATTCGGCAGTTTAGCCGTTGGTCTCGGATTCGGTGCACTCGAAGAGATCACCAAAAAGACGTTAGGATTTTCATCCGAAAGAAGCGTTTGGTAAAACCCAAGTTTAGGTAACAATTGCCTTCGCTTACGGTTGTCTTATCACCTATGAAATACAGCACACTCCCCTCGCCGGGAATTTAACCCTGTTTACGAATCGTAAGTTCTGAGTACTTTCATTAGTCCACAATTGCAGTCTATTTTTGAGAGAGTCAGACAATCGGCAGACTTTATGCCCGTCCGACAGATGAGGAAAGTATTGAGAGAAGAGTTGGGCGACGATTGGGAGTCAAAGTTCAAGAGTTTTGATGACAAACCGTTTGCCGCGGCGTCTATAGGACAGGTTCACAGAGCGACACTTCCCGATGGACTCGAAGTGGCCGTTAAAATACAATACCCGGGAGTGGCCGACGGTATTGAGAGTGATATCAAAAATATGTTATCAGTGCTTAGGTTTGGCAACATTTTGCCCGAAGGCTTGTTTGTAGAGAATATAATGCGTTACGCGAGGAAAGAGTTGAGTTGGGAAGTGGACTACAATAGGGAGGCGTTGTGTCAACACAAATACCGACAACTGTTAAGCACTCGTTTGAATAATAAGGGATTATATGTGCCTAAAGTTATCGACCAATTGTCCACTAAAAGAGTGTTCACTTCCGAACTGATTAGCGGAATACCTGTCGACAGACTCGAGAAAATGGATTCAATTCCTCAAGAGTTGAAGAATAGAATTGCAAAACAATTACTGGATTTGACTCTCAGAGAAGTGTTTGAGTTTGGATTCATGCAAACTGATCCCAATTGGTCCAACTTCTTCTACGACATCGATTCAGATATGATCTCACTTCTGGACTTTGGTTCAAGTCGTGAGTACAGCAAAGAGTTTGTCAACAGTTATATGGATGTGATTAGAGCGGCGGCCGATCAGGACAGAGACCGAGTGGTCGAGACCTCTAAGAAAATCGGTTTTCTCACGGGATATGAGAATCAAATCTTCGAGAGAACGCATACCAACGCTATCATGATTTTGGGCGAAGCCTTCGCCGCAAACGGTTTGTTTGATTTCGGAGACCAGAAGACAACGATTGCGTAGGTACTTAACTACGGTTAAGATGAGTTTATAGCAAATTGAGGTGGCGGCCTTCTCTAGATAAGAGAAGTGGCGTTCTATAGCCCTCACAAAGAGGAGACGTGATTTGAATTCCGGTTTTACGATTGCAAAGAGATATTCGACGAAATCTATTCTAATTATGAATATTAAGTATAAATATTGAAATAATTATAAGTTTTAAACCAAACCAATGATTGTTAAATTAATATATTTATATTAACTTAATTTACATTTAAAACATTAAAGAAATGATATTTTAATTCATTTAAGTTTAATGGCTATTAAATAAATAAAATGCACAATGGTAATATTGGTATTGTACTGTCTCATCAATATTTAAGGTAATGTTGGCTAATTATAAGGTGAGTTTACAGCTACTTTAGTAGAGGTACAAAACATCATACCGTACTATGTAAAATAATATGGTACCGGTATATCATTATTTGGTGAGTTACGTAATTGACGTCTTGTAGATGACAGTCATGTAAATAGTGTTATGCAATACATTGTATCAGTGATTGATAATCAGTGAATGCACTCATCATTTAAATTATTTGAGTTACACTTTAAAAATAAACTTACATTTTAGACATCACAGTCAATACTGGTGAATTTAATAATAATAATCATTGAATAATACATGCATTGAATGAATGCTTGCATTTGTCGCTGTTTGCCCTCATTTGTCGTGAAAGTCATTCACAACCGAGACATCAGTCGCTCAACAATTTACAAATATTTCTAACATTTATTAATTGATGTGAAAATAAATATTTTTATATTGGATTTAATTTTTTAATAATTAATTTTCTAAATTAATAAATGTAAAAATGTTTGCATTATTACTCGGATTATTACTTCTTGTATTATTTGTTTGGCTTTTCTCAAGACTTGACTGCGATTTGCAGCTATTTTTATACGAAAAGTTTGGTCGCCCTATAAGTAGGTCCATGTCTTTAGCCATCACTAGCACTCATATGTTGTGAATTTAATCTTGAGGTGAACTCAATGGTAAAGTGGTTTGGATTACCGGCGCCTCGAGTGGTATCGGCGAGGCTTTGGCCTATCTTTTGGCCTCACATGGAGTCAAACTCGTCATCTCCGGTACCAATGAATCCAGACTTCGTCTTCACTTCTTTGTTACAGAAGCAGTCATAAAAAATAAAACTAAATAAGTGTTTTAACACTTGTTTAACAAACAATAGAATCAAACGCCAGTTAATCTTCTCTTGCTGCAAAACTATAACTCAAAAGATATCAAAGACTTTTCAGTCCATGAAAAACAATTCAATGCAGTTATTAAACACTTCCAAAGGGTATTCATATTATTGTGTAAAATTGTGAGCACTTTATTCATGTAATCTTTGGCCCAAAGCTCGATATTCTTGTGTCAAACGCTGGTCGCAGTCAAAGAGCTTCCTTTGAGACAATTGACATCGAAGTGGACAAAGAAATGTTTGACGTGAATGTCTTCGGACTCATAAATCTGACACGAATTGTATTGAGATATTTTCTCGACAATCAAATGAAAGGACATTTTGCGGTCACTTCGAGTACTGCTGGAAAATTAGGTTACATTTAGTAAATGCCATAATTTTAACGCAAATACTTTAACACTGTTTTATATATGCATTCCTTCAGGTGTTCCCAACTCTGGCTCTTATACGGCATCCAAACACGCTCTACACGTGAGTTCAAAACTCAATTTAATATATTTGACGAGATTTTAACATATAATATGGTTTCCCATCTATTCATTAAAGGGTTACTACGAGTGTCTTCGAGTGGAGGCCCAGTCGAGGGGAATCTCGATCACAATGCTATGTCCCGGACCCGTCTTCTCACGCGTTCTTGAGAACGCGATGTCAAACAAATTGGACTCAAGTCATGAAGTGGTCACTCATAGTAAAGATAATAAACGATTGGCCACTTCTCGATGCGCTCATCTCATGGCTACAGCCATTGCCAACACATTGGATGAGGTATTGATCCACTTATTGCCAAAACTTTGCCATTAATTATGAATATTATGTAATAATTGTTTTAGTCATGGATTGCATTACAACCCCACGATTCAGATATGATACACAGTGTTATAAACGGGTGTTAAAGGGCTTTTAACAAAAGTTATAAAAATTGGGGTGTTGCTTACCGAGCTGAGTCTCTCCCTAGGTTAACTCTGTTAGGTAGTTTAATAATATTCTTGTATTCTTTGCTAATTCTTTAATAAAAATATTTTCTAATCGTTATATAAAATGTTATTTAAACCAAATGTTTGTTAAAAATTAGAGGAAATAAATTAAGGAAAATGTTTGAATGCATTAAACAGTGAATGAATTAAATAGTAATCGGGATTTGAAAGGAAGTGATGACTAAATTTGAGGAAGAATTGGGAAGTGATATGAGAGACGACAGACACGAGAGGGCAGTGCAGTAGGAGTTGTGTCGCGTCATCACAAACACGACAATCACATCACAACTCATCCAAACATCGATTGCTTTAATGTGTGAGTGATTTGTGCGAAGCGTTTCATTACTTGGTTTGTCCATCACTTCCCGGGAACCGATTGCCGCTGGTTTACTGAGCTGTCTACACGAGGTTGCCCACCTAGTTGACAAACCGCCACATAACACACCATGACCGCCACTGTGATTGCGGCTGGGTTACAGACTCTAAAGTAAATGTCGGTTTGTGATTCGGGTGTCTGAAGGAGGAGATGAGGAAAGACGTGTTAGTGACCGGAGAGTATGAGCTAACTCTGGCCGCCGGTCAGCGCACAGACCTCTCGGTGACCGACTCTAAAGGCCACACAGCCTTCGCGCGCGAGAACCTCGACAAAGGAAAGTTTGCGGTCACGAGCGATGAGGACGACATCTTCGACTTCTGTTTCGTCTCTTATCTCCAAACCGGTCACCAGACGGGACCCGAACGCGAGGTTCATCTCGAGATGAAACACGGCGTCGAAGCCAAGAGTTACGAAGAGGTTTGCCATCCATTTTGTTGTCATTTCCGTCGCAATCTTTTTGACATTAATATGTGTGGTTTGTCTCTCCCTATGTATGGATCAGTTGGCAAATGTCGGTAAACTAAAGCCTTTGGAGATGGAGTTGACTAAACTGGAAGACCTCTCGTCGTCTATCGTTCAAGACTTTGAGTACATGAAGAAGAGAGAGGAAGAGATGAGAGATACTAACGGTTTGTACACAAACTGAGACACAGTCCGAGTCCTATATTGTTTGAGTCAAATAATTAGACACACCTTTGGATGTGTAAACACTATTGAGTCAAACAATTTATCAATACATAAATTAATTAATCAATTTGTGAACACATTTAGCAATAATTGATTAACAAATATCGGGAAACGGATTGTAATGACTATAATTACTCTGAAGTGAAAACTAATGGTGTATTTCTCATGTGATTTGCAGAGTCGACGAACAATCGGGTGCTTTACTTGAGTATATTCTCGATGCTGTGTCTGTTAGGGTTGGCCACGTGGCAGGTCCTGTACTTACGCCGATTCTTCAAAGCAAAAAAACTCATCGAATAATTTTTGTAACAAATTTTTTAGATATAATCTTAAGTTAATTATAATTTAGAAGTGAAACTCAATTTCAAGTCTCGAGTCCATGTATTTGTATCGTTTTTTTTGCCTCAAAATCTTTTCCAATAAATATTTTAAAGATAACACCAATTTTTTTAAATAATTTTATTTTTAATAATTGAATCAATAATTGAAATAACGCTAAATAATTGTCTTTATAAATGCGTTAGTCTTCAGACGGAATGCAAAATATTTTAAATACTTTTTATATAAATTTGATTTTAAAAACAATGTTTAGTTAGTTCTGAGCTGATAGTCGCCATTTTGGGTGATATAGCGAACCCACGGCAGTGCCTGATAGCCGCTCTTCTCGATGATCTTCAGGTACCGAACCTGTATTCCCGATGTCGTGAAGTACGGGATCTCGAACTTCACTTGTATGGGAGGCTTGCCTTCAGTCTCTTCGCTGACCACCGATGGGAGTCCGAAGTGGGCTCTCATGAGATACTCCTTCCCTCCGGGGAAAGACTTGATGTTCCAAACGACTGAATTCACTTCAGGCGTGTATTTAACGCTTCCGATGGATGTCTTGAATTTGGGTGAATCGGCGTCGTGTGGAACCGGTATTACGATCTCCACGTTATTAGCTGTCGACCGACGCTTGAACTGACTCTTGGCTTTAATCATGTACTCGACTCTCGAGTGTTGATGTCTTTCTATCACTGATTCGATCCAAATAAGTGGCTTCACGTGAGTGTTGAGCCGATAAGACATTAGTTCGAACTCTCCGTCCGGAGGAATGAATGAAATGGTTCTGTCGTTTTCGAAACGAGACAATCGGACGCATTGGTGGAACTTTACGTCTTCGAGTTCAACCGATTTGCTTTTGCCCCGACCTGTGCTCTCAAACAACACCTTATCGTTCAGACCTAACCTCAGTTCAGGCATTCCCGACAAATAGACCCTCATTTTGATTGAACCCACGATTTCGCTCTGGAGTACACTTCCGGACGCATTGGCCAACAGATTGACGGATTCAATGACATCGAGGAAGACCTCGTTTTTGCGATATTTAATACCCTCTGAACGCCACGAAACGGCGTTCGTCACAGTCATCGGCGGTCTCACCTGAACCTCCATCTTATGACTCTCTTGTGTGATGTATTCCTGAAGAATCTTTCCATCGGTGGTCTGCGGATACCCGAAGTCCATCAACTCATCCAAAAGCTCGTAAATGAGCACAAAGTTGTCGCGAATGCTCTCCTCTTCCACTTCTTTGAAATACTCGATCAAAACGTTTACGATTTTGTGGAGGAATGAGAAGATGAGCGAAACGTTGGCATTCTTTTTGGTCACCGAAACGATGTATAGGTTATTGAATTTAATGAACGCAAACGTCGTGTCGTTGTGCCGAAGGATCGGATTCAACGACCCGTCCTCTTCTCTGTCCATCAAAATCGGTATAAACTTATCGATTGAATTCATATCGATATCTCCCCTATAGTTGCGGGAAATCAATACTTTTCCCTTCAGATCCAAGAAGTATATGGCGGACGAAGACATGGCTCACACACTCCTCAGTCTATCTGTAATACATTTGTGTCGTTAGTAAACATGTCTTGTAATCCATATACCAATCGAAATACCTTTCGTTTACTTAATTTGGGGACCAATTGGTGACAAATCGCTTGATTTCCAGTCTTTCGGCACTATTTGTGGCCAAATATTTCACACAAATGTCAATACAATATGTTTTTCAATACTGTGTCCAAAATAATGAG